CTTTAACATCAACATCCAAATCAGCATTAGGCCCTCGGAGGTTGACTTTAGGTGCATTTATATCCATGTCTGGTCCATCTAGGTTTCCATCAATGTTAGGTCCCTTAAGTCTTGGTATGTGAAATTTGGGCATTTTCAGTTTGCCTGAGGGAGCATTGATGTCCCAGTCTGGAGCATTAAGTTCTGGCATTTTGAATTTTCCTGATGGACCTTTAACATCAACATCCAAATCAGCATTTGGGCCCTCAATGTCAATGTTAGGTGCATTGATGTCCAAATCTGGCCCCTCTAACTCTCCATCAATCTTTGGTCCTTTAAACCTTGGCACGTGAAATTTGGGCATTTTCAGTTTGCCTGAGGGAGCATTGATGTCCCAGTCTGGAGCATTAAGTTCTGGCATTTTGAATTTTCCTGATGGACCTTTAACATCAACATCCAAATCAGCATCTGGGCCCTCAATGTCAATGTTAGGTGCATCGATGTCCAAATCTGGCCCCTCTAACTCTCCATCAATCTTTGGTCCTTTAAACCTTGGCACGTGAAATTTGGGCATTTTCAGTTTGCCTGAGGGAGCATTGATGTCCCAGTCTGGAGCATTAAGTTCTGGCATTTTGAATTTTCCTGATGGAGCTTTAACATCAACATCCAAATCAGCAGTTGGGCCCTCAATGTCAATGTTAGGTGCATTGATGTCCAAATCTGGCCCCTCTCACTCTCCATCAATCTTTGGTCCTTTAAACCTTGGCACGTGAAATTTGGGCATTTTCAGTTTGCCTGAGGGAGCATTGATGTCCCAGTCTGGAGCATTAAGTTCTGGCATTTTGAATTTTCCTGATGGCATGTCCATATCAACACGTGGACTATTGAGATCTAGCTCTGGGGTACTGAGATCACCTTCTGGCATATGTAGATCTGTAGGATTTATTCTAGTACCCAAATCAGGCAGGTTCAGGTTTGGCTTTTGGTATTTCCCCGATCGACCAGAAACATCAACATCTGGAATTTCCAAATCAGCTTTAGGACCCCGAAGGTTTACATCCGGTGCATTGACATCAATATCTGGTCCTCTTAGACCAAATTTAGACATGTTCATGTTTGGCATTTTGAATTTTCCTGATGGCATGTCCATATCAACACGTGGACTATTGAGATCTAGCTCTGGGGTACTGAGATCACCTTCTGGCATATGTAGATCTGGAGGATTTATTCTAGTACCCAAATCAGGCAGGTTCAGGTTTGGCTTTTGGTATTTCCCCGATCGACCAGAAACATCAACATCTGGAATTTCCAAATCAGCTTTAGGACCCCGAAGGTTTACATCCGGTGCATTGACATCAATATCTGGTCCTCTTAGACCAAATTTAGACATGTTCATGTTTGGCATTTTGAATTTTCCTGATGGCATGTCCAGATCAACACGTGGACTATTGAGATCTAGCTCTGGGGTACTGAGATCACCTTCTGGCATATGTAGATCTGGAGGATTTATTCTAGTACCCAAATCAGGCAGGTTCAGGTTTGGCTTTAGGAATTTCCCTGTTCGACCAGAAACATCAACATCTGGAATTTCCAAATCAGCTTTAGGACCCTTAAGGTTTATATCTGGTGCATTGACATCAATATCTGATCCTCTTAGACCAAATCTAGGCATGTTCATGTTTGGCATTTTGAATTTCCCTGACGGAGCTTTAACATCAACATCCAAATCAGCATTAGGCCCTCGGAGGTTGACTTTAGGTGCATCTATATCCATGTCTGGTCCATCTAGGTTTCCATCAATGTTAGGTCCCTTAAGTCTTGGTACGTGAAATTTGGGCATTTTCAGTTTGCCTGAGGGAGCATTGATGTCCCAGTCTGGAGCATTAAGTTCTGGCATTTTGAATTTTCCTGATGGCATGTCCAGATCAACACGTGGACTATTGAGATCTAGCTCTGGGGTACTGAGATCACCTTCTGGCATATGTAGATCTGGAGGATTTATTCTACTATCCAAATCATGCAGGTTCAGGTTTGGCTTTTGGTATTTCCCCGATCGACCAGAAACATCAACATCTGGAATTTCCAAATCAGCTTTAGGACCCCGAAGGTTTACATCTGGTGCATTGACATCAATATCTGATCCTCTTAGACCAAATTTAGGGATCTTTATTTTGGGCATTTTAAATTTTGGTTTTGGAGAACCAATATTAACATTTGGAGTCTTTACCTCCATCTTAGGAGCATTAAGGCCCATATTTGGTAGGTCCAAATCAATACCTTGTTTCCCAGTACTTGGCATTTTTAGTTTCCCAGATGGCCCACTAAAGTTTAAGTCCATTTTTGGATCGAAAGTTCCAGATTTGACATTGGGAGAAGAGAAATGCACATCTGGCCTTCTTAGATCTCCCTCAAAGTCAGGGACGGGAATGTCCGGTAAATCAAATTTGGGCATTGTAAATTTGGGAGGCTTGTATTTTCCAGAAACACCTTTTCCAACCTTTTTGGATAGATTAACATCAGGTGCTTGGATGTCACCTCGGATGACCGGTGTTTTTACGCCATATTCAGGTGTTTCAATACCAGATAGACCGGTGCCTGCGGAGCCAAAGTTGGGCCCAGTGAGTTGACCACCCGATGCATCAGCATCAAAATGTGGACTTTTAAGATCAATCTTTGGCCTGATGGTTGGCATCTTAACACCCCCTGAGGAAATGTCTGGCATTTCCATGTCTATATCAGGGGTTCTTCCGGATAAGTGAAGTTTACGTGAATGTGCATAACCAGTAGGATCATCCACATCAACAGCCGACGTCTTCAGTCTCTTTGAATACTTGAAATCAGCATTTTGTAAGTCTTCACCTGTGCGTCTGACACGTGGTGTCTCAATCTCATATTCTGTGCCACTCATTGAAGGCCCATGGAGGTCCACATCTGGCATCCCGAATTGTGGCACCTTGAAATTCGTTTTGGTTCTGTCAATGTCCAGTCTGGGTGCTCTAGCGTTAACAGATGCACCTGCGATATTTCCTCCATTTAAGTTGACTCCACTTTCAGGCAAACTAATACGTGGACCTTCAATTTCGAGGGTGTTGGAAATTTCGTTGTCGTTCAGTCCAGTATCAGGCCTTTCATGGTATGGCAACTTCAAGTTCTGCTGTAAACCACCTGCAGCATTTAAAGTTGCACCTTCTGGCAGTGTTCCAGAGAAATGATAGTCTGTAGTGTTGAACTGTGGACCCTCAGCTTTCAGCCCTGGTACCTGATGTTGACTTTGAGAACTTCCACCAAGACCCAAGGGAGGAAGATTCAGATTGCTATCAAAGTTCATTTGTCTGGGTGACGTAGCCAAATAATAATCAGAATCTGATTTAGCGTCATCACTTGTAGAGGTATATCTGTACGTTTTCAGACGTCCAAAGTCAACTCCAAGGCGAGGCAATCCCATGTCATGTTTCAGGCTGACCTTAGATGACCCCGTCGCACCTAGACCACCGTTCACAGCACCTCCTCCAACACCCAGCATGTCGTCCTTCATGAACCTCTTGATTTTGGTGTTGTAGAGTTTGTTGTAAGAATCCTCCAACATCTAAAAATGTAAAACACAACTTGTTGAAATTTTTTGTTTCCTAAAACCAACCGTAGTATAACAGCATAAATAAAATCGCTGTCGACTTCAACTGCTAAACCCACATTCTCCGTTTGTGTTATGTTGCAGACAACCAATGCATTAATGTTCACCGTTTTGGGGCTTTTTTTGCCACACTGGTCCAGATCTCCAAGGCTCTTGCTCAGGTTGCCCCTGGTGAGGACTTTGACCTTGTCATCAAAGGGCTCCATTACTTGCAGTACTTTCAGCACATCTTCCTTCGAGAGTTGTTCAAAATCAATCGTTGCTCCCAATAGTTTATCCCCTGGAATTGGAAAAAAAACACATTTATATAAACAAATAAATGGAGATAATAATAATAGTGGAGCAGGAACCCTTTAGGATTGTTCAGAAATAATGGAGCAGGAACCCTTTAGGATTGTTCAAGTTTCCAGTATACACCAAACACTAGAGGTCTCACCTTCCTTCAGACCCTTCTTTCTAGAAGCGTTGTTGATCCTGGAGATGAACAGTCCACCATCCTCTGAATGTTCAAGGTTGAGGGCCTCAGAGAGGCTCTTTCCTCTACGGTGGTATGTCTGCGAGAAAAAAAATAAAAACAGAACAAAAATGTTCCCAAAACCAAGCCAAAAAATAACACAAATTTGGATGGAAGTTTTTTAAATTTTTTTTTTACCATGATCCTTGTGTTTGTGTCACAGCAATGATGAAAATTCCTTCTGGAGAAAACCTACAGACAAACAAAAATGGTCCGAATTGAAGTTTCTTATCCATTTGGAGGTGATCATTATGAATCATCATCATGTTTAACAAAGTTTTTCATCCTGTGTCCATCCATCCATCCATCATTCATCCATCCAAAATCCATTTATAAACCGGCTACAAAACAAAAGTTTTTTCTTTTGTTTCGGTATCATTTTCTGTCTATAGAGAGAAATATTCTTTCTCAATGACTCTTACACCTGACCTCAAATACTTCATAAACTATTATACAAATATATTTTGACATTCACTCATGATACAGTATATACAGTATGTGCTTTGAGAAACATTATGATTTCCCAGGGCTCGCAGCTGAAACAGCGACACACAGGTGAGAGCGCAGGTGCATTTCTCAGATGTTTAAATTCCAGCCCGGGGCTGCTGGGTCAAACAGGTTTATCCACACAGCTGCAAACTAAGTGTGCTGTTGTCAGGTGTTTCCTCTTTATCAGCACAACCATAACCATAACCACACCCACTGCTTCCTAATAGAGAATTCCTGAATCCAGGCTCCATCCAGTGTTTGTTCAGTCACGATCACAGGACGTGTAAAAACTGTGTACAGACACGAACACCAGTGTAATCATATCCTTAATTTATTACCTTAATGGGAAATATTTAACTATACAAATATTATTAAATATGAATATTTTGTATTTTGAGTATTACGTTAGAGGCTTGATCACTTGATGGCTGGGAGTGTTGTTCATTCATACGCTTCTCCAGGCTTCGTGATGATGCTGATTGTGATGCAAATCTTTGTGATGATGTAGTGAGATTAAAGTCTCACAGACTCAGATTCAGCATGACTTCCGTCACAGTAAGCAGGGGTGGAACTCTAGCCCCAAGATTTGTTACAATCCTACAGGAACACGACAAGTCACCCCACTTTGACATCATTGTCCTGAGTCAAGTCAGAACTCGACTCAGGACATTTGCTGAAATGGGCGTGTGAATGTTCAACTGTTGAGTTGCAAAGGCACGCAATTAGCAACTGGTTAAGAAACGTCTGTGTTAGTTAGCTAGCCCTGCAACTGTGTAAAAAAAATCTGATCCAAGATCCAAGATTCTAGTTTAGAGAAAAGCCAGAATTTGTGTTTTATGAGACAAAAGGTTTAAGTTTTCTCATTACTCTATTATTAGTCTGGTCTGGGTTCATGGCAGCTCTGCATCCATTGCCAACACAATAAGTCCACTTTTTTCAAAGTAAACATTTCAATTGAACAAATGTCAATATCACCTGCAGAAAAGTAATTAAGAAATGAAAACAACAAACTGATGACGGTGTCTCTGTAAATGTAAACAGCACAACAAATAAATGTGCGACTTGTTAAAATAAATGTTGGAAAGAACTATTTTTGTTCATGTTGCCTGAGGTTCTCGTAAACCCACCTGCTAATGAGCTTCTCAGTATTTATTATATACAGTACTTTGTTGCTAATTGATACAAACTTTCACAAAAAACATAATTCAAATAACGTTTGTTAAAATGATAAAAAATTTTTTTTTTGTCACAGTGGTTTGTGTGTAGATTAACATTAGTTCATTCTGGTGTGTAGTAGATAAACATAAACAATGTGTAGATTTACTACTTATTTAAGGGCTTACACAATTTGACTTTACGAGCAAGCCAAAGGCGCAACAGCCTGTAGTTACAAGAACGGAAAAGAAAACAGATGAGTCAAAAAGAAGAATGTGTTTCTGTTTATATTTGAACCTGAAACCCATTCACAGACGACAGATGATGTGAAGAAATCACCTGTGGACATCAAGTATGAACCAAAGAAGAAGTGAAGACAGAAACTGTCTGAATGACGGCAGCAGAAACCTGGACCGCAGCCCACTGTCAACCAAAACCATCAACACCTTCAGGAGCAGCAGCAGCAGCAGCAGAAGAAGAAGAAGAAGAAGAAGAAGAAGAACTCACCAAAGAACCCGGGCCTGGAATCCATGAGTGATATGATCCGGACTACATCTGGAATGATTGCGGATCCCACATGTCGTGTTGTCAGAGTCTCAGCGCAGGTTCTCCAACGTTGGCTCTGCAGCTGTGACTGAGCCGAGGTGCTGCCGAGTCAGGAGGACAAATACTCCACATGAAGCAGACTAACTGGTTCAACTCCCAACGACCCGCCTCTGTCAAGTGTCAGCAGCCACAGACGTTCGTGTCGCACGCCCTGCTGCTGCTGCGAACACACCCTGGCTGCAGAACAACAGGCCTGGGACTCCCATGTACACACAGGTATAAACATACACAAACATAAACATGAGGCGGAGGAAACTGTGTAAATGTATGACTTCATTCTGCAGCACACAAATCTGTCAGGACTCTCAACACGTCTGAACTCAGTGTTAGGAACATTTTTTATCAAGTTTAACACACAGACATTCACAGAGAAAAATTTTTAAAAAATGATCAGGATCAGAAATTCATAAGTATATAATCAATCTATATTTAAGTTTAAAGTACTTTTTAAAAAAATACTTAAAATAAATAATATTATAAATATTATAATAAATATTTACTTAAGTAAATAAGTTTTAAAGTACTATGTTTTTTAATTTTCAACCTTCATATTTTCTCCAGAATTGTCACTGTTTTACAGCTAAAACACAGGGTCGCAGTCCATCAGGGGACACACCCGTGAACGAGCAGGTCATGATGTCTCCACGTACAGTATCACCGCTGATCTTTATGCATATATTCCTTTACGAACTCTTGGACTCTTGAGAACACGGTGTTTGAATTGAACCTGTTTTGAAGATTTCCAGCGCCTGTATAACCTCTGTTAATAAACACAAGATAGAAGTAAGAGAGTTCAAAGTTCACAGTGACCACGACTCTACACACCTAGACGGTCAACCATAGGTACGAACGCTTGTCTCTATATGAGTCACTGCAAAGCCATGTGTAACAAAGGATGAAGAGGTAGAAGATGAAGAAGTGAAGACGTCACGATCTGGATGAAATGTTAGAAATATACACTAGCCTGAAATAATGGCCCAAAACAGACATAAAGTCATAAAATCACTCTGTAGAACCCAAGAAGAGGAATACTTGGAGACGTAGTTCTTACTTCCAGTAGCCGATCTAAAAAGCTAAGTGTTCTGTTGTGTAATAGGTTTTAAATGTCAGAGAATTTGACTGATATGAGTCGTGTTTATAAACAGTCTGCGGTGGTTACTGTGGTTACGCTGTGATTAGCTTGAAGTACAACATGCAACATTCTTTGTAAAACTTTTAAATACGCAGCCACACCATAAAAGTACACACCTCCCATAACCTGGACAAAAGAAGGTGAAGGAGCCTTATTGTATAAAATAATAAAGAACTCCTATTGGCCTGTTGGTGCAGTAAAGTTACAGTAAAGTTACAGTAAAGTTACAGTTACAGTAACTAAGAGACTAGGTTTTTTTTGCAGTCTAGAAAGTAAAAAAAAAAAAAAACTGATTGGTTTTTTTTTGCAAAGTCTAGTAAGTAAAAAAAAAAAACTTCCATGGTTCAGGTTTGTAATTTAACTATTTTATACGTTTTAAACTGACATGGTTGTGTATTATTTGCGATTCCAGAAAAGAAAAAAAACAGAAAAAAAACCAACCTACGGCTCGTTGAAATCAAATCTTCGCCTCAGTAATTAGAGGCTGAATGACTCTCACGTACTTGAGGAGTTAAATCTAGGTGGTGACTACTTTTGGCAGGGCAGTTTAGCCATCTACGGATTAGCTGTCACGGGTGCTTTTGTTTAGCTTGAAAGCTAATATGCCTAACTGTGACAGTGGGACTCGGGTTTTACATATAAGGCCATACTGTAAACCAGGGCCTGAAGAGTGAGATTCTCCTGCAGTAGGACGACATGTTTGGGCTGTAGAGTTAAGATTTTAATTTTTTTTCCCTTGTCATTTACTGCATGATAAAAGGACATCATCAGTAATTGGTTGCGCCCAGTGTCAACAAGTTAGCATAAACATACAAACAACAAACAAACAAATATTGACATTTGCTTTAGCAGTTAAATTGTGCAAAGTAATTAAAAAGTTTTCAAAGTCGTCATAAAGGTTAGCGCAAAGTGACTTTAGTAAATAGATTTCTACTGTGAGCAAGTAGCTATTTATTTATATATATATTTCTCAATCTCTCTTTCTTACTATCTCTCTCTCTCTCTTTGAAGAAAGAGAGCAAGATGCTATATACAGTATATATGTACATATACACATACTGTATATATATATATATAAATATATATATATAGTATGTGTATATGTACATATATACTGTATATAGCATCTTGCTCTCTTTCTTCAAAGAGAGAGAGAGAGACAGTAAGAAAGAGAGATTGAGAAATATATATATAAATATATATATATAGTATGTGTATATGTACATATATACTGTATATAGCATCTTGCTCTCTTTCTTCAAAGAGAGAGAGAGAGAGAGAGATAGTAAGAAAGAGAGAGTGAGAAATATATATAAATACTGTGAAATATATATAAATACTGTATGTCAGGGTGGGAGGATGGGTAAACACCCCCTCCTCACCCCTCACCCCCGACCCTCCCTAAACTTACTCAAGCTCATCTAAAACACCATCCAGGCCAATATTCATACATTGTTTTCTTCTCCCTGTCACAACAAGGCGAGGGCTTTTACCAGCAACGAGAACAGAGAGTCGACAAAACACACCCATGTGCACAGGGCAGTTACAGTTATACCGAAACTTTTACCGTTCCACGAAACAGGGAAGAACAGACAACAGTTGACTGAACACGCCCCCTGAGGACAACACCAGAAAAATGCTGAGCAGAGTGGAGGGAGCGGCGGGCGTTCACTCACCGCGTGACTCACTCACCTGCTGCTCTCCATCGTCTGTGATCCTCTCCAAGAAATACAGCTTATATTGATATCATAATAATAATGGAAAGTGCAAACCTGCTAAAAAAGACAACAAAGAAAAAAACAAGGAATTCATTATGACTGTAAGACACTGTGAAAAGAAATCTGTGGACAAAATACAGAATAATATAATTTTTTTTAAATCACATATTTTAATAGGAAAAAACTGTCAATCAAAAATTAAGATAAAAAATTAAACAATTAAAAAACACCAATCAACGACCTCTGACCTTGTGATCTATAAATTAAATATATTGTCACCACATGTTCCCGACAGGCACATCTCATGTGCCTAATAAAGTAAACATTAACAGAATAAAAAAACCCCATATATCTGATAATAATAATTTTAAAAAAAATCTCCCTTCTCTTTGGGGTACAAGTAGAACAATTTTAAGTTATTTTAAAGAATTTAAGCATTAGAAACCTAACAACCAACTGTGGAAAGTATAAAAAGGATACCGACATTATCTCAACGTAAACGTAGAACAGTGAGTCATCATTATCGTAATGGAATGGGGGCCAAGACAGGCTCCCTGTGGAACACCTGTACCAGGTACCGATGTGAGGTACAGACACGGGAGCTTAAACCGTACGGCTTCCAGTAGAGTCTTCAGTGTTAACCTAACATTATAATGAGAAGTGATAGCTTATTAGCATCATTAGCTCAGTTTTTTTTTTAAAAGATTCAATATTTTATGGTTACGGATTTACAGTATGAAGACGTCAGATTAGGACTGAGCGGATTTCACATTATCAGGAAACCATCCACCAATGCCAAAACATTAGAAATAAATTCAATAATACCCTAAGTACCCGAAGTAACCCTAACCCCCAGTTACCAAACTCCATGAACAAAAAGACTCGATTAGGACACAGATGAATATTTGAAAAGAAATCTGCTTTTGTTGTTAAAGTGATGACGTGTTCATTTAAAAAACAAAAACGTATCGTTCAGACTAAACCAGCAGGACATCTCTGTGGTCAAGTACAAAAAACATCATGTTTCTAATTCTACCTTCATCAGGCCTCTCTGTGTTTTTGCTCACTCTCCTCCTCCTCCACCAACCAGTCTGTGGAAGATGGACTGGTCGTTTTGGCAGAGCGCTGAAGGCGTGTCAAACTCCGCCACCTTCCCAGCATGCATCACCAGAACCCTGTCAGAGTCCATGATAGTGTTGATCCTAAAAATAGAAACGTGTCAAAATTAAATCCATCAGACACACCAGAAGTGAAGAACAGGGCCTTCCTGTGTCAGACATGTAAACGTGTATGTGGACCAGGGTCAAACGAGTCAACAAGAGGGTCATTGTACTTTACACTGACACCCACTAGAGGGTACTCTAGCTGGCTGGTGTGACTTACATTTAGAAAAATATGGTACATTGTTCAGGAAGTATCATACATCGTACATTGTATACTTGTATCAAACTAGTACCTCGTCGTATTACTAAGTGTCCTTGGAGTAGCTCTCACTTTCAGAAAGGTCAGTGACCCCTGGTGTAGACCAAACCCACGTGGGCCAGACAAAATGTTTTATTTCATAAACCCATGTGGGCCAGACAAAATGTTTTATTTCATCAGGTCCACTTCAGGTTAATCTGTTGCCTGCGTTCTAACACTGAAGTCACACCCTCCTCCTCTTCCTCCTCTTCCTCCTCCTCCTCCTCACACCCTGGTCCTCACACCCTCTGACACTTGAACGTTCAAAGCCGTTCCTTTAGTAATTATTTCCCTTCACAGCCACGTGTGTGTGTGTATGTGTGTGTGTGTGTGACGTTTAACGATGTGAGCGATAGTCAGAACGGTCTTGTCCCGAAACGTCTCCCTGATGGTCTGCTGCAGCAGCTTGTCCGTCCTCTGGTCGACGCTGGCTGTGGCTTCATCAATACACAGGACCTGCAACACAGAAGTAACGAGTACTGCGTGGCGTTCTGACCACTCTATCACGGCTGGTATTTTCTCTAAACCGTGAAAGTGATTTTTGCTCATTTCCTTCCGTCTGTGTGTCAGAAACCCGTGACAGAGTGTGTGTTGTTTGATGTGACGCCGACACTGTGTGCTTTGAAGGCTGGAATGTTGAAACAGAGATTAACTGATTCCCGTCTTATTCTCTGCCCATGAGAAAAACCTGGCAGAGAATAAAACATCATCAGTAGTGACTTAAGTCACGACATGTGGCTTTAGACTCATTATAATCTGTGGAGTCAATAAACAAAGGCCTCACAGTGAAGAAGAGGAGGAGGAGGAAGAGGAGGAAGAGGTAGTACGAGGCTTTGTTGTTTTGAGGTGAATTATTGTCTTTAACGCATCACCATGGCGACCAGAGGGGGGTGCCATGCTCAGTGGGACCTGCTGGGTGGTGGATTCAAACTTGGGACCCAAGGTTCCGGACCCAAATAAGCAAACTTGGGTCCAGAACCACCAGGCCACCACTGCCCCCTATAGTACGAGGCAGGATGCTCGGGTTTTAAAAAATGAACGCTCCTCGACTCTGTACCAACTCTAATGTACTGTGTTGATTCCAAAACGAGGTGAGTGATGATGATGATGATGATGATGATGATGATGATGATGATGATGTCACAGGTGATGACAGAGCTGAGTTCTCACCATGGCCTTGGTCAGCAGGGCTCTGGCCAAACACAGCAGCTGTCTCTGTCCTACTGACAGGGACTTTCCTCTCTCTCCGACAACAGCATCAAGACCACCTGACACACACACACACACACACACACACACACACACACACACACACACATTAAATAATGTATGAAGACATGTTTAACAGTTGAAAAACATAACATTAAAAAAAGTGAACGTGAACTGTGTGTGTGGGGACGGTGCCATGCTCGGCGGCAGCTTCAGGATTTGAACCTGAAACCTTCCACCCCTGCTTGGGTTTGAAAATGAAAATGAAAACTGAATTTAACTGAAGCTGAATTAAGTGTGAAATGTTGTAAACAAGTTTTTTTTATCTGTGATAATCACTGACGCACTAAGATAAGACTGTGGTCAGTCTGACCCTGAGGTCACAGGACTCGAACCATAAACCATGGTCCCATAAACAGCCTGAACACAACATCGTGTGGTCGTAGCCTTTTTTACGCTGGTTGATTATTTTTACAAGGCTGGTTACAGACTTTGATGTTTAAAAAAAATAAATAAAAAAAATAATTCCAAGCTTAAAAGATCTCATGATTAAGAGAAGTGAAGAGGAGTCAACAACAGTTGAGTTTCTCTCCGCCCAGTCACTGTCACCAGACACGGAGTAATAACAACACGGAGCAGGCGACTGTCAACTCAACTTATAACCAGGTAATAGATAAACAGGAGTAACCGGCCTCCACCCTCTCTAACAAGATCACCATATTTGAATTAAAGCTTTGTGGGTCACAGGGTGTCACATGTTTCTCTGCTCATCCTCACCCCCCCCCCCACATCCCGCACCACCACCCACCACCTCCCCACGCTGAGCTGAGATGACACTGGTCTACGACGTCCAGCAGCTGCTGGTCCGTGTTCCGTCCACACGGGTCCAGGTTCTCCCTGATGGTCCCACTGAACAGAAAAGGATCCTGAGGAATAATGGCAAGCCTTGACCTGCAGAGGGCACCACCAGGTTAATAGGACTCAGAGAACAACATATCACACGGCTCCCTCCCGGTCAGACCTACCTGAGCTGACCCAGGCCCGCGCTGCTGATGTCCAGCCCGTCGAGAAGAATCTGTCCCTGGTTCAGCTCCACCATACGAAACAGGGCCAAGAACAGCGTGGACTTACCAGAGCCTGTACGTCCTACGATGCCTACCTTCTCCCCGGGTCGCACCACCAGGTTGACCCCGTCAAGGGCGTTAGGAAGACCCTCCCTGTAGACCAGGATGGCACCGCGGAACTCCACCCAGCCCTGCTCGGGCCACGCTGGAGGCAGCTGATGGTGGAACACAAACACGACAGGAAGTGAGACCGGTGACAAAAACAAAAACTGGTTTTAGACCAGGCCGGTCCCAACCCCCGGTTCGGGGACCGGTGCCGGTCCGTAGGTCATTTGATACCGGGGATATCGGAGTGGGACACAGTCAAAAAATATACTTGAGTTTTACTAATTTATTTCATTAAAAAACAATCCAGTCATATCCCTTTAGTTTTTCTTTAAAAGATATGATCTGCCAATGATTCTAAAAGATGTTTGATTTTAAAAATTGTAATCATCCTTTAACGATGGCGCGGTATTACTGGTAAGGGCTGTCGACTGATCTAGACCATACTGAATCAAAGACAGTTTTGATCAACAGATCCTTTAACGATGGATTAACGACTGAATCAAAGACAGTTTTGATCAACACAACATGATTCCTCCTACACCAAAGTGGAAATCATCCTTCATTTAATTCATTTTTGTCAGGTCAGAACATATATTTCTGTTCGTGACAGGACTCGTCAGTATCTGTTCTGACCTGTGCGTTCTGCTGCTGTGGCTCAGTGGTGAGACTGCTGGAGTACTCCTCAGTTCGTTCTATGCTCACCAGCTGCATCTCAGTCTGAGTGAAGCTGAAGATAAGTCCCGACAGGAGGCCGGTGATGGACAGAGCGTAGGACAGGGACAGACCCACGAGACCTGACCGTGGAACATTAGACACGAGGACATAAGAACCTGGGCTACGAACTGGTAACAGAACCACAGGATTGCTGGAGTCTGACCTGGGTCAACGGAGTGAAACTGATGCTGGAGGACAGCGATCAGCGCCAGGCTGGTCACCACAGCGACTCCGATCATCTGCAGGCGGATGTCCAGCCACTGCATGGCAGCGTTGCTCAGGAAAAGACAGCGTTGGTTCTGCTCCAGACGTCTAATGTTTTCCTCCACAAACCTGGAAAACCACAAACGGTACTAACACTTTTTTTTACATTTATGAACAAAACATTAATGTGCAAGACAAACACAGGCAGCACCAAGATCCAAGACTCCATCCTGGGTGTCAATCACACCATGTCACCTTTTATTGAACTGTGTTTAATGTATTTTTCCTCTAAACAGGATCAGGTGTTCAACTAACGACTGAGATTTTCTTAAGTTTAATAATTCTTAGGCTTCACTCTATAAACCACAGGGACCACGCCCACATTCTATCTACGACCAAAGGTCACTTCTTACCTGGCAGAGCTGCCACTGGCCCGGATGGTCCCTAAACCAGTCAGGGTCTCAGAGAAGTGGGAGTAGACGGGCGACAGCGTGAGGCTGCACAGACGTTTCAGCTCTCGTGACGTGTGTCTGTAGAAGTGCTGCGTGCGACAGTACAGGAAACTCAGGGGCAGCAGGAGCAGCAGGACCCAGGGGAGGCCGTAGCCCATCACCACCAGCATCCCCAGCAGGCCGAAGATGTTGGCCAGGAGAATGTTGAGGATGAAGGGCAGCGTGTCGTCGATGCTGTACAGGTCCGAGGAGAAACGGTTGAGGATTCGTCCCAGAGGAGTGATGTCAAAGAAGGTCACTGTGGCCTGGACGGACAAACGGAGAAATGAACCGGGCCATGGCCAGGACACGAGATTACTATTAGAATTTATTAATCAATATTATATTTTTTACTGATATTAGAACAGTCATAGTCATTTGTTCGCTAAGATGCAGAACCACTGGCTATAGAACAGTCATAGTCATGTGTTCGCTAAGATGCAGAACCACTGGGTCCAAGTGCATTTGAAAAGCTATAAGAAGGAAAACAAACTGTTGGAAAACACAACAGTTCTATGAATCCTGTAGGAATCCGGTTCCAGGAACCAGAACTAATTTGATAAGTAGGAGGGGTAAGGAGACAGTATCTGTCCGTGCAAGAAAACAAAACAACCTAGAACAAACAGTTCAGTCGGCTATGAGGGAAAAAAAAAAGATTTATAAACGTGTTTGCTGCCCACAAGTGGTAAATATAGTAACAGCAGCAGTTATTTGTTCCGGCTGTGCTGTAAGTACCCGCTTCAAATATTATTTAAAAAAACAAAATTATTACTTTGTTTAGTGTAAGTTAAGATTTAAATATAAGCCATGGTATTTTAACGAGACAAAACGTCTCTGTCTGTTCAGCCTGTAGAGGTCGCACCATCCTTGACTTTGAGTGTTGTGCAGTGGTTGTGGCATTGTTGCACCTTTAGAACCCGATCCAGGAGTCTGTTGTGGATGGTTGTGGCAGCACAGATGGCTCCGTAGGCAAAGAGCACTGCTCTAAACCCAGTGAAGACAGTGTTGGCCAGCCCGATGGAGCCGTACACCACCAGGTAGAACTTCACGTCAGAACTCTGGTTGTTGGACAGGAGGGTATGTGCAGAGGGCAGCTGAGACCTGGAGGAGGACGTGTGAACATGAGACCACAAAGTTCAATCAAAAATTTGCTTTGAAAAATATGAATTTGAGGATCGGTTCCACTAAAGGCAGGTTTGGAGATTATTATTTTAAAAATGATGACTGACGGATGCACTAACATTAATCCTCCACTGGTGAAGAGCAGCAGGTGAGTGGAGGTGGAGGTAAAGGAACCGTTGGGTTCTGTGGAACTATTGGTTTTCAGCTCAGAGATCCAGTGAGACAGCCACCAATCAGAGACATTCTTGGAGGCTGAAAAAAAAAACAGCGACATATGTCAGTAGGTAATGTAGCTGTGAAACAGCTGTGTCATTTGTTGTAATGATTTTAGCTAGCTGATGCTAACGTCGATCCCAACCTTGCATGAGTAGCAGCGACATGAAGATGGAGAACGCCAGGACTCCGCCCACAGCAGCCCAGTAGGTCTTATAGACCGTCCACGCCAGCCCACCCGCCTGCTTCTGCTCTGCTCCTAACTGCTCAGCATCATCATTCACCCTCAGATCTGCTGACGACTCCTCTTCTTCTTCCTCCTCCTCCTTCTCAGTATCATCTGGTTAAAACGACAGGTATTAATATTCAGTCGTTATTATAACAACACCTGTACAAGAGGTGATGAAACTGTATCAGTAAGAAAGAGGTGGAATATATAGATATAGATCTGTTTAGTATAGAATGACTTGGACGGTGATCCCCACCTTTCTCTTTTGTGTTGTGATCGCTGCGGCGTTTTTTCGGATCAACTTCAACAAAAGGAAGGATTTCTGCTGGCGTCCCTGTT